AGATATAAAATATATATATATATATATATATATATATATATATATATATATATAAGTCACTTAATGATTTTTGTATATTTCTTAAAGTGATAAAAATTTACTTGAGACGACAGACCCTAAGTAATGCTATGATCGCACAGAATTCGTTTGACAAAACTATCGAACGCTCACTTGTTACCATACGAGTAAATATAAATCTCGACACAAGATAAGATAGCTGGTCTTTAGTGTTTCTTGATTGTCAACGCGGTATATCATCCATGGATGCTATAATTGTACAGAATTTGTTTAAAAACTATCGCAAATTTATTATCTATAACCCAGCCAACAAGATGACATTATTTATTACTATTTTGATGTCAAATTTTATTTACTGGAAATCGACGTAAAATTTGTTGTGTATATCCCTAATGAAAAAATTTTTACGAAAAATTATATAGACAAGATCTTAGAAATTTTTAGTTTTTCGTAGATATTCGTAGTAAACGTACAGTAGCGTTGTTTGTTTGAAAATCTAAAAAATTTTCCACCCTTTCCATATATATCTTAATTCTAATGCTCTATTACGAATTTTTACAGAATCCTTTTTTGTATCTTATTGAAACAAACAATATGCCATTCTATGAATATATGAAAAATTAATTCTCAATTTCATTAATTTCTAAGACAAACAAATCTCACTCCACGTCCCACTAATAACATCTATGAAAAACTAAGAATTTCTAAAATCTTGTATCAATCTATTTTCTGTACTTTTTCATAAAAATTTTTTCCGCCAGAGATCTCATATATTGTTTATCTGTAACTAAGAAATATTCCATTAGATATGATCGGGATGATCTAAATACTTGATAAGAAATATCTGTTATTTCAAGTTTTTCGCATGATCGTAAGGATCTACTTTCGCGTACTTTGTCATTGAAATCTATACCTACCAAAATTTGAATCGGGGTGTCTTGAATTCGCGTAGCGACGAAACGTCAATTGTGACTGCGAACGGATTGCGTCCATCGCGAAAATCCGCGACAACAAACACGAAGCAACTGTCCGTCACTTTAATCGGTACTACTGATAAAAACTCACGCACTATCGACGGATAAAATTCGCGAAACATCACAACACTATTTGCGCTCCGCTTTCCAAACCGACGCGCAATCGAAAGTATCATGGCAGTTGAAAAAGCGCGTACGACGCGGGCGCAGGCGCAGTGTTGCCAATCACTAGATTTCTAAAGTACCGCAAACTCGCATTCATTTTCATGTGAAACGCGGCCATTTCAAATTTATGCAATTGTATATACGTACTTTATTTGGTAAAATAAAGCTGTCAAGTACGTAAATAAATATTTTTTAATTGTAATTAATTTATTTATGACCAAAAAAATATATATAAATGCTTAATTTATGTATTATTTAATTTAATAGGGGTTTATTTGCTGTAGAAGTTTAGTGCATAAAAATGCATGAAGAGACATATAAGTGCAGTTTAAAAAATGCACCCTCAACCACCACATCTGAAATCGTATATTATGTGCACTTTGGCCATTTTGACACGGTATTTCTGAAATCAATTGCGGTACTTTAGAAATCTAGTGACTCTAGTCACTATATATTACAAATATTTAATATTCGGGTAATTTAAAATGCATGATGTTTGAAATTTGCTATGAAAAATTAGATGTTTTGATAGGTTTTTAATTAATCATAATGATTAATAATAATGTTTTATTAAACTTTTTCTATAGTTTTGAACAAATTTATAAGACTAAAATTTAAATTACTGAACGGACATCTATAATAATATACGTTTTGGAAATTTTAAATACATACGAAATTTTATAGACTAACACACATGATATATACACAATAATATATACACGAAATTGTCGTACATTTTAAACTTTTCTCTGAAAGATAAAGCTTATTTTTTATTTCTATTTTAGATTTACGTTATCTGATTATTAATTTTGCAGATTAATATTATCCATCTCGGTTTTTTACTTTTTTTCTGTATAAAATTCATTTTTACTTATAATAAGGAATTGTCCACATTTAACTTATAAATCATATTACAATGTCTAATTTTTTTCTGTCGTTATCTTCCTACAATAAGAAATACATGTATATTTTTAAAAATATATTTATTTAATAAAGTTCAAATTTTTTACAAATCTTTTTCGTATATCCTTAATTATCTCTAGCCTGATACAAATTTCTTTCGCATTAAATTAATAAAGAGAAAAAAATAATAAGATTGGAAGAATAAATTTTTTTAAATTGTTGCATCCGCGTTTTCTTATAGAAATATTAAAAATGTAATTAATTACATGCACAATTCACACTGAATCTATTTAATAATAACAGTACGAAAAAAATTTTTTTATGTACTAAACATCATAAAATGAAATCTTGCCTCGTTTTCTTTAAATATCATAGGCTAACTAAAATAAAATAAAACAATAACGTTTCATTAAACATGTTATATTAAATGACGCACATCTATAATTGAATTTCTCTTTCAGATCTCTTTATATGCGACCATGAACTCCGAAGACCGTGACTGTTCCCGGTTAAAGAAAATCAATATGCATCACAAGCGCAGCTTCATTTGTGCGAAAACAAAGGCTATCCTTAATACTAAGACAGTATCACAATGACGTCAGAATCGTCATGGCAACTCCCTTTGGTACACCCACGCCGTATGTGTTATTGCATCAAATTTAATCCACCAAAATACAAAGATTTATCCGATTAGCGAATTAAATCCTAGTATCTCATAGTTGTATCAATTATTTCGAGACAGAAATACATGATACACGTACTGAAGCAATGTTAAAAAGAAAATGTGTAAATATCAAATGAATTATATTTATACACACATATAGATAAAATATCTTTGTGTTCTTACATTAGAACTTCAGAGAAAATGATTTCATGTAAAATTGACACATAAGGAAACTTCATCCGTCTCTTTATACTTTTATAAAGAGTTGAGCATACAAAATTAAATGCAGATAAGTTATATAATTTTTTTAAATTTAAAATTAATCTTAATAAAAATTAAATTTCAGTATAAAATACTTTCTTATAACTTGTTTTAAACAAGTCGGCATATCACAGTCCAAGAATCTTGGAATCTGAATCTATTAAAAAATAAAAGCATTAAATAACTATCTATACTCTTTACTTATTGTATAAAAACGTTTAAAATGAATTATTGTGTATCTGAATTTTCAGATTTAGTTTCTGTAGCAGTAAACATCGTCAATATCCTTTCAAATTCTTGTACAAATGGCTTAACTATTGCTGATTCGTTAGTCACTAAAACATTTTCAAAATTTCCAAAAAATGCTGTTTTAGTCCAATTTATGCTGCCTGTTAACAAAATATTATTGTCAATAATAACAAATTTATGATGCACCAAGACGTCCAACTCTTTGAATACTGGTTTAATGCCTGCAAAGCAAAATAATGTCAACTAGGTTCATACTAAATTGTTACACATTATATAAATTTAATAAAGATTATGTCTTGTAACTAAATTCTTCATATATTTGTTTCTAACTAAATTATCCATATATGTTTCAGAATATTTATTACAACCTTCTTTGTAAAAGTTCATTAATTGACTTCGATCACTATGTGTCATAGAATCTTCCAATATGATTCTTACGACAACATTTCTGTTTTTAGCCCTTATAACTGCCTCTGCCAAGTCCACAAATGTAAAGAAATATATACATATGTCCAAAGTATGAATTGCCGAATCCAAATAATATATAATCCTCCTGCAAATACATCAGATATATTCTATACAGTTGCAAGCTATGAGAAAGATGTGAATAAATAATTTTATTTATATATCACATTGCCTTTATATCACATTAAAAAAATTACTTTAAGTATCTTATTGAACAATTCAGCTTTTCACATGGTTGCATACATCTCAAGTGTGGTCGACACAAAGAAGAATCTTGTGAAAAAAACATGACTTCGAAGATCTTTGCTTCTGTATTGTTGCAAAGTTGTTCTACGGAACCATTGCAATTGGAAGTATTGATCACTTTCTTCCGAGAATGTTTATGTTTCTTGTACAACTGCCACATTATTTCTGACACAATAACTCCAGAAGTTATTGCAATGACAATTCTTTTCATCATTTTAGACCTGAATTAAGTAATTTGGAAATCTTTGAAGATCTTTGGAAAAGCAATGTGTGCCAGAGATACTTCAGTCAAATTAAAGGTTAGGAATCTCTTGCTTTAATACAATGAAGATTGGAGAGTATTACAGTACGCATTTATATATATATATATATGTGTCAAAAAAAAGATTTTCTTAGTTCGTTGATTTGATAAAATAATACATTACACACAGATATAACAAGACAGAAATTACAGTTATTTACGATCTTATTAATTAAAAGTACACTGCTTATATTGATATATATATATATATATTTTGAATCAACTAGACTGTAGACTGTGTTCAAAAACTATCCGGATGCCTCCATGTATCATCTTATCCTTCTTTACAACATATATCATTTTATCCTTATTTTATTGTTCATTAATTGAATAAGCAACAAGGATAAAATGATATATACGAGCATTTGGATAACGTTTCCGAACACAGCCTAAAGATGCATTCACATGCAAGCGTCAAGCAGCGGAAGCAGCAACCAATTAATGAAGCAATTTTTTACAGTTTTTACAATTTAAATAAATACAGAAATCTTCAAAGAATCAGTAAATAAATAATATAAATACAGAAATACAAATATATAAATACAGAAATCTGCAATTTTTTATTTTCTCCAGCTTTGAACACAAAATACACCAGCGACAAGTATATTAGCATGTACATTTTAGGTCAAAGTCTTACTACAAATACTTTGAAACGTTTGATTGACCAATTAGAAAAAAGAATTTTACAAATTGACCAATCAAAAATTGCTTCGAAGCATTTGTAGTATCGCGTTGATCATATTTTTAGGTTACGGTCCACTTGATGCTATGAATGCTTCGAAGTATTTTTTGATTGGTCAGTTAGTAAAATTCTTTCTTCCGGTTGGTCAATAAAAAGTTCCAAAGCATTTGTAATGTTAAATGCACCGCACTCTTAGTGAAAAAGGAATTTTTATTCTGTGAAATCACATCACTACGAAGAAATTCGAGGGAGCAAAAATGTCAAAAACGCTAGTTTTATTGATAATAAAGGTATGTACGTTACGTACCTTCAGATTTACTGGATTTGAGTATCTTTATTATGTATTACATACAAATTTAATATTTTTATGTAATGTATTTATTTGATACCAAAATAAAAAGAATATAAAGAAAGAATTATAATATACAAAGTAATCAGACAATACAATGCAATAAAATATAATACCAAAATACAACACCAAAAAATAGACTTAAATTTTTTTAATATAAAATATAAAATACATAAATTCCTTATACATTTTTACAATTAACATTTTTGTTTATATGTGTAAGATATCTCGTATACAAAATGCATGCATATTATAACACAAAATTTGCGTATATTTCAAGAAAATCCAAATTTCATTCTGGTTCTACAATAACAATCTTTTTTTACATTTTTATTTAATATATCTTTTAATGATACAATGTTTATTAATGGGTTAAACGAAAATTCCAATTTCGCATCTCCTATATACTGTGGAAAAAGTTATTGAATTTTAAGAAACTCGAAATTGAATACTCAAACAAGTTAATTTAGCGAATTTTGTTTTATAATATGCACCTACATAAAAATGGAATTACGAAAAATGGAATTGTTTTTTATTACAGAGTTTAGCTTGTTTTGATCAAATATAATTATTAACATGTATATTTCAAAGTCTCTATAATTACTAACAATTCTAGAGACTTTGAATACATTTCAAACTTTTCCAATTATACATCGTTAATTTAAGGTTTAATTTAGCAAGAACGAGCTAGAGGCCCTCCACCACCCCCGCAGATTTTATCGACGGTCCTCTTTTCTTTCTAAATATACTCATCTATATATAATATTAATAAATTTAGTAGCCCGTTTTTGCAGATAAGTATATTTTTTTAAATTTATTTTTTATTTTTATGTCTATAATTATTATTGTATTTTGGTAATGATATTACATTAATTTTTTTGATATTATCTTTTATTGAAATATTTTGTACAATTCAATATT